CAGAAATTAGTTTAAAAATCCATCTGCTGCTACTAAATAAAATATATATAGTATGCACAGTATCATATAAATTCTTCATATGCTCTCTATGTAGTATTTCATGTATTATGAAATATAAGTAGGGTATGTATATATAGATCATGTACTAGGTAGAGTAGTATATATTTTATGCAGTACTCTATATATAATTTTACATAGATTAAGTGAAATATATTCAGTAAATATAATCCATAGCTCCTTCCAGCATTTATGTATTCTATAGATTTATCGTTGATTAAATTTTTTTCTAAATAGGTTTTATAACATTTAAAGTGTCCCATTGTCATAGAGAACATACAGATTAGACAGTTCAAAAAATAAAGTAAATTAAGATATGACTCTTTATAGAAAGGTTACACTTTAAACAAAAACTGGTGAATGCCTCTTCAGTTCTTGCCTAACATCCACTATATTTAGAGCTGGATTTTATCTCCTTTCTTGCACAGGGGATAGTATGCAGACTTGAAATTATTAGGAAGGGAGCATAAATGTGTTATCTTCACATATCAAAAAATCCATAATGTCTATTTTTTGTGCATGATTGCGTGGAATTAAAAGAGAACATTAAGGGGATATTCACAAATAATTTACTGTCTTCAGCCTAGCGATGCCAGTGGGGAGAGACAGACTTTGCCAGGCACGTGAGAACAAGCACTGTCAGGCTAAAGGAGGCCCCCCCGCCCCCTCTGCCAATTAGCTGGGGCACTTACAGGCTCATGGGGATAAAGTTAGCTTCTGTGAAGACCCACAGAAACAATTAGAAGAATTAGTCTAACAGCTACACGTATGGCACATTTATCTCAATTTCACTTTGAAAATAGTGCAGGTTCCTGGCTTTCTTAGAGCTCAGGCCTGTCAAAGCAACGTGCCGTGACAGCTGGGTACTTTTTGATGATATTGGAAATGGGAATCGCATTCAGTATCTGAAGTCTAATTTCATTTCTTTTACATAAGCTACAGTTTTCAGTATTAAATTACACAAATATAAAGAAAACCCTTTTTATTACAAGAAGCTTTCTGAAAACATAATCTCTATATCTAATTTAAGATTTGTGAAAAGATGCCCTTCCCAAATCTGCAATTACACAGCCAACAGGAATAGTGGAATCCCACACAGAATTCACAACCAACCTTCTCTCCTCCAATTCACAGACACAAATAAAGATGTTGTGTCAAGCCAGGTAGCATTGCATTTCGTTCTGATAGCAAAACACAATTTTTACAACTCCTCTAAAAGCTGTCAATTTTTTGTCCAGATAAAAGTTTATGATATTCATTTAAACCAGCTCTGCATAAGCCTCGATTTGTCATCTTACCCATCCACTTAGAGTCTATATAGTCTCTGAAATATCAGGGAGAAAAAAAAAAGTTAGAAAGGTGTGGAATATAGTAAAGACCTGTTAGAAAGAAAGAGTATGCAGTAAGGTACAAATAAGGCCAAAAAAGGAAGAGGATTCAGAACTTGATTGCAAAGCACAAGACAAGCACAGGTTTTAATGTAGCACACAAACATATACCGTTAACCTTATTAACACTAAGCCACAAAAAACCCACATCTTAAGACAACTGCAACTACCTTATTCAACAGTTATTTGCATGAATGGGCCCAGTACAAAAGTACTATACTCTAGGAACACCTTTTTGGAACACCTAATGGAAACGAAACCTGAAAGTACGCACTTCCCACTTCCTGTTTGATAAAATATTCCTAAATTAGCCATAGTTACATTCTTGTGACTGTTATACCGGAATCACATTTCTCTACCCAAGTTGCTTAGGTTTTTAAGCTACATTGAGAATCAAGCACGCTAACTCCTACAGTCTAAGTACAAAGCCAGTAGGCAGCTAAGAGTCCAAAGAAATCACTGCTTAGATAATTTTCAGTAAAGAGTGAGAAGCGATAGCAGAAGTCTTAAGCATTTGAGTTTACAGTGGTCTTGAAAATTTTCATTCCAGCCCTCTGTAAACTTAATAGGAAGTAAAAATTAAAACTCATCACACAACCACACCAGATTATTAATACCACTTACACAAATGACATATGGGAAGAACTTTGGTAAGAGAAGAAGAGGTTTAAGAGTATTTGGAGAAGTTAGGTATCTTCAATTCATTTGTACCCAGTAAGATACTCAGAAGACTGGCTCTTGCCATTCTTGCAATTTCAGAACCTTAGTCACTGTCTTTGAAAACTGTCCTTGAGTGTAAGGACTAAAAGAGAATGAGGTTGGTTGGTTTGTTTCAGGGAGGAACAATACGGTGGCTTGTAATTTCTCAATAATTTAAATTTAATTTTTTTGAAGAACACTGGAAGAAATGTACTGAAAATATCAGAAAATAACAAAGAATTTAGATGGATTCAGCTAGAATAAACTCTATAAAACCAATCTCATTTCCTTCTCAGATAGCATAAGAGGTGTTTTAATAAGGCTTTTACTACTTTCACATTTCACAGGTAAACTAAGGAACCAAGGACAACCAAAACTACTGCTGAATACAGAATATAGCTGTTAAAAAGACAGTAGCTAGGAGTTCATGATCAACACTGGGTGAATGTATTAACGGAGGTTTTGCAGGCATCTGTTTTGGGCATCATTCTACCTCTTAATTAGTGACTTGGATGAAAAATGAAGACCACATTTACTAAATTCACAAAGCAAATAACCCAGAAGGATCTACAAATGCAGTGCAAGCCTGGAATTCAAAACTGCACTGACAAGTTTAGACAAGGTAGAAGCAATGTGCGAAGAAGTAAATACATTTTTGCATATGGAATCTGTAAACTGAAAAATAAAGGCGAGGAATGACAAGCTGGCCAGCATTACCGTAAGAAGGTATTGGGAAATTTAGACCATCACCAGTCAAACAAGAACCAAAGATTGGATACTTTTTAAGGATGGACTATTTGAGCATGTCAGAGACAATGCAGCTGATTCTTCATTCAGACTGTCAAAATGACCTCCCAGGATCATTTTCGACCTTCTTCTCGATGATTGCTTCCAAACATTGTAGCTATAATGACAGCTGTATTTCAGGCACTGTCATGGATTTATGAAAAATAGGAAAAAAAAACCCAAAACAAAACCGCAAAAAATTGAGAAATCCCACTACATTCCAAGTTAGCAAATTATTTCAAACACTGTCAGATTTAACGGATAAGACCAAATTAAAGTACAAACTGTAACTTATCACATAAATTTAAATTTAATTAAAATTAAATTAAAAGTTAACTCCATTATGTTTTTCTATTTTCCTGAATATAAAACCAAAACAGATTTACCTACAGTAACATTTTTCCCATATACTAAAAATGTTTAAGAAAGAAGAAACTGTGGGAGAAGAAACAGTAGGAAGCACATCAAAAGAATAAACAGAATCAGAAGTGATGTTAGTAGAAACAAGTATGCATTAGGTTTTGGCTTTAAAATAGCTACATGTAAAAATTAATATTAAATGGTACAATTAGGAGATATAAAAGCATTTTCCTCAGTGAGAAGTCAAACAACATTTTACACTCATTACCACAAAGCAAAACAGAATTTTATGCAAAGTTAACGTAAATTCATTTTCCAATACAGAACAAACTTAATGAAAGAGTAACATGGAAATTAATTTCCTTCAAAACTAATGCCAAGTTTAAGTTATTATATTTAAATACAGTACATACAGAGTTATTTGAACAATACAAATAACCCTAATACAATGTTTTACTGTCTAGACTGGCAATAATGTGAAGCCCATAACTTGAAGAGGTATACTGCTTTTTTGTGAGAATGCTACTGAAAGCTCACCCATACAGTTACAAATGAGTCTTTGTTCATCACATCTGTGTTGCAGAGAAGTAGTAAAGGCTGTGAGAATGATCCTTTCATAATAGGGGAAGCAATGTTAGGATTGCAATGCCACATGGTGCTGCCCATTCGCACTTTCCAAACTACTAGTTAAGACTTAAAACCAAGATGTCACTCATATGCTAAGTTTTATCCTCCAGAAGAAATATGCTCCTGAAAATATAATTTAAAGGCAAATTGTCTACTTACAGTAAAATTTAAAAAGGTTCCTCTTTGAGAAAACAAACATAAAAATTTCTTAGAATTAAAACCATAGTATATTAGTTATTTAACTCTTTGTCAACAAATACAGTGTGTAATCAAATGCTGATTATACTTTTTAAACATTTAAACTTCCTGTACATTCAAAACAGACTTTTAAAGAACAATCAACAGAGAATTCTTAAGAATTAGAATTGGCTCATTAGAAATAACATGGAAGAAATCTTCACTCTAAAATGAAGATTGAGAGACATAAAAAAAGTTTTCTTAATTAAAAAACACATTATCAAACCCACAAAATAATACACCATTACACTGGATAATCTAATTGTTAAAAACTGACAGTCTAGTAACACTGTTTTCCTTAAAAAATGCACATGTTCTCCACTAGGAGTAACAGTTAACTCATGAACTAAATTCAGCAATTACTGGTTTGGGTTTTTTTTTTTTTACAAAGTATATGTGAAAAAACTGAGTATCACAGACTAATCATGATATACAATCAGTACTGGTCTGCAATTCTGTTTGCAGACTTGGAGAGAGGAACAAATAACTGCAAAGGATAAGAAAACTCATTTCACAATGATCTGTAGAAAAGATGTGATACACACAACTGAAGCACACTGCTCAATACGCTCAGACTGGTTGCAATCTCCCTTTACTAAGAACGTAGGACTTCACGCTCATGAGCTACAGAACCAGTTCCACTTGCACATAGCAAAAGTATCTCCTCATAGCAAAAGTCTAAGTGGATGTATGTAAGCGCAAGGCAATTTGACCACTCAGAACCCAGAAAATCTATTCTGCAAATTGTGGAACACGTTCTTGTTTATTATGTTTGGTAGCCTGACACATTCAAGTAACTTATTATTTCAGATTATTCCTTTTGCTTTCAATCATCACTATACTTACTTGACAGCCTGGTAACCCCGTATCTCTACCATACAATGGAAATGGACCTCTATCTGAGCTTTTTCCTGTAAAAGAAAGACATTTGAAATTAGGCTATTTTAAAAATCTGCTAGATACATGCATCAGTTGTCCTTACTCAGTCAGTTCAGAAAATCTGTTAGTATCATAGTAAATCTACAAAAATTAAGTCGCACGAATAAAAATAAGCTTTTATACACCTGTGTTTAACATACTCAAATAGCATTACTATAATAGATTACATACTTACCTAATTCCATTGCTTACGCAACTGATCAGTAAAAAAGAACTACTACTATTTTTATTATTATAAAATCCCTATTAGTATGTTTAAATAAAAAGGGCAAAGGTCCAGCTTCACTTCTGTTATCAGTGAGCAAAGGTAGAGACACTTCTAGGCATTTCTTTTTTCCTCTATGAAACTAACACATAGCTGGTACCATCTTAGGTGCTGAATATACTAAGCAATAAAATAAAAGCAACAAAACCACATTAAAAGTGAACAAAAACTTCAATTCAGAACAACAAGAAAACCCACACTAAACTTAAACCATGGCTGAATCAGTCAGCTCTTGACCCTCTCAACCCTTAAATCCTTAAAAATCCTTTCATTTCACATACATTCCAGTCGGGTACAAAACTCAAGCAGTACAACTGGTCAAGACAGCAAAAGAGACTCTTCTCTTCTGCCATATATGCAGTATTTGCTCGTAGGTGGCACATCCTGAATATAGTGCCTTGTGTAGAGTGGCTGTCCTCTGGTGTTGCTATCTGAGGTCACAAGAAATTAGCAATATATTTGTCAATTCCAGAAAACCTACTTAGTGCTGTATTTGTCGATTCTGCCACTAAACTGGCATGCTTGTATACTACAACTCAGGGTGAAAGTTCTCCAGTAGGGCTCAGAAGTTTATCAATCAACACTTTAAAAAAAATGCCGTGAATGCAAGTGCTGAACCATGAGAAAATCATCAAGTATGTCTGTAACAGAAAACACCAAGTGCATATGTCTGCCCTAATTATGACACAGTTAGAACTAACACCCTATAACACCACTCAGAGTCTAATCCAAAGGTATGCGTTAATAAACCATGATACCTATCTAGTTGAAAATGAATGCCATCTTACCCAACTAGGCATTCCCTTTTCTAAGCAACGTATGTGTTGTCCAGTCCTCATAAGAAGAAAAAGTAGCCTTTCTTACACATTCCCATTGCAGTGATAAACAGCTCCATGCTATTGCAATTGCACTTCTAGAACAGGACTTCCTTTGCTTTTTCTGATTTTCTCTCTTACTACCAAAAATCCCCAAATGTTATTTAGTAAGAGGAAAAACTAAAGTATGCTTATTGTTCATTTTAAAAGTGCATCTTGTGTAAGCAAAGAGGAAGAAGTTTGAATCTCTTGAAAAAACATCTCTTCAAGATTATCATCTTGATAACTACAAGTAGTCTGGTCAACAACAGTTTGCTTGAAAAATGGCAGCTCTGCTGTAACAAAGGGAGGAAAAAAGTTAACATTTTTCTGCTGAAGCAATTTGCCGCTAACAACTATCAGGCACCAAGCAAATAAAATACCTAGCATGCAAAATTATATGAAGTAGGATGAATCATGCTGTTCATATTAAACCAGACTCAGCATTTTCTTTCCAGAAAATGAGATCTTACACCACATGATAAACAACTTCAACTGAAGTATGTAGTATTCCAGGCAGGCTTTAAAACAAATGTTTGTACAAGAGTCAATTAGAGAGGCTAGAAAAATTATTATTTAAATTATGGTTTGTGTAACAAGGAAGAAATTGTTAGATAAGAATGCATAAAATCACGTTATTTGAATGTTATCACTGAAAAAGTTTAGCAGGTTCATACTAAAGGAAAAAAGCTGAATAGAATAGCACAATCTATACTAAATTTGGTTCTAAGAACCGACTGAGTAAAGCCAAGGCTGCCTAATGCTGCACTGCCTAAATATTTACCAAGAATTAGAGCTGGAGCAAACTAACATTTAACCTGTGTTCAAAGGGCTAAGCTTTTCAAGGAAGGGTTTGGAAAGAGACCTAGGATCAAGTACAGGATAGTGCCTTTCCTAGAAAGAGTCTCCCAGACACATCCCCAGTGCAAACAGATATGACTGAAACTGGCAATAGTGTCACAATGTTAAAAGTACACATTTTAAAACAACAACAAAAATCAGCAGGCACACACTTCAGAAACACATGTTGAGCCCACACTCAAGTCCTGCTCCTGGTTCTCTCTTGTACTGTGTAACTGCATCCTGTTGTGCCTTTTGCAGGACTGGAGCACTGTGCTAGCAGCATGATCTTCACATTCACATAGCAGAAGGATGGGAGAGAGGCTGAGCTGTTGTGGGCATCACTAGAGCACGTCTGTTGCACTGCTCATGAGAGAAGAATAAGGACTCCACCAACAGCCCCTGAAGCTTCACTGATACTACATCGAAAAGGTTTCCCAGAGTCATGCTCATCTGGCAGTATCACAGGATGGTTTTGCTATCAACACAATGGAAAAGCAAAAGAGTATTGACTACAAATCACCAGTTGTCATTTCAACATACTTCAGCTTCTCCAGTCTAGGCATGATGCTATTCTCACTATCTAAAGCCTTGTAAGCAAATGTCACAGGCAGTGTTTGCTTATCAATAGAAAGAGAAAATACTTGGCAACTATCCCACACGGTGAGTCAAGTACTTGAAAGGTGGGTAATGTCAAGTCTGAGACGATGATACCTCCTCATTGGTTTAGCAAACAGGTAGGTCCCATACATAACGTTGGATCAATGCATGGACAGTCTCTGGCATCCAATAAAGTTCAAACGCATAGCCAAATATATCAAAGCAGAATCCCTGTGGTGCTTTTTCGCTTATCAAATACCTTTCTTAGTTATTCAGATTCTCTACAGATTGACAGAAGAGCATAAAAATGTAGAGGTTACTGTAAAAACCAAACTTATTGGAGAAACAGTGCTTATGAGCACACAAATTTTAAAAATACAATGACATTGAAAGCCAAAGCAGACCCTGAAATGTCTTGCAGGTTTACCCCACGAGATTTGCTGTTGAGTGTCTTATACCTTCTCTCTGATTGTATTCTCTCCACCCTGTCTCAAGAGGGTCTTGTCTCAGTCACTGCTCACTACACAGATGGCAATAGTATCTTTTTTATTATAGGTGGAAATTCAGAAACATTAATACTCAGCATTAAGGGGACATGAGGAAACTCATTACCTGACATTAAGGAAGGCACCTGGAAGAAGAAGGGTATGCAAAAACACTTTTACATTACAAAATCCTCACCAAATGTTTTTATTAGCACAGGTTTGTGTACACATGGCTGTAAGGTATCATGTAGACATACCAGCTGGGAAGGTAAAGTAACACCCAAATGAAATTTATTTTGTCTTCAGATCCTATTTGATTTCACAAAACATTTTGGAGAAGTAGAGCAACTTCGACCAGTTTTTGCAACCTCAACACTTCCCAGACTTGTGCAGTAGGGCTTCCTACACAAGGCTATTGTGAACCATCAGCTCCTTGATCATGTGTGTCCTAGCTCACGTTTCAAAAGTTATGGGCTGTCATTTTAGAAGCAAAATCTATGCCTTGCTTACAAAGTACCATCATGGTAAACTTTTCTTCAGACTACATATCAGTGGCTCTATACCCTAGAGTTCTGTCTTCCAATCAGATCTGAAATAAAGCAACTGACATTTAAAAATAATTGAGTTGGTTTTATACAGAAATCTTAAATCTGCACAGATCACCTCACAAGGCATTTGAATCTTTTAATAACTTGGAATGAGTTTGTTGGGGGTTCTTTTTGTTTGGTTTACTTGGGGTTTTGGGGGTTTTTTTTAGTAAGTTTGATGTGTTTTCATCAACAAAAACTGCAATGACCTAACTGCTACTTAACAGGCTTAAAGCCCAAGGACTATGGAGTTAAAAGAAAACCAACCAAGAAAATCCCACTAAGCATTTTGAATGACAAATATTTCCTAACTTCATAAATGTAAAACCTTGACACATTGTGTACCAATCCAAACTTTAACAAGCATTTAGTAATTATTTTTCTCTTGCAATCGCTTGTCTAAATGTGACATGCTCACAACTTAATATAGCTTTTGAATACTGCACAAGGAATTGTATTCCATAATAAATCTATCTGTATAACAGCTGTGCAGCCTAAATACTCTTAACACAGAATGAACTGAAACAGCAAGATGCAAAGTGATAGTGAGCTGAAAACAGCACTACATTAACTCCATGGAGGACTACTTCAGTCAGTGTGCTATATATGCCTGTCAGTAGTCACAGTCTTTTCCCACTGCTTCTAGATAATGCCTGGTTTATGAGAGGATGACAGAACAGAACTCTGCAAAAAATTACTTCAATTCCCACAGAATTAACCCTTTACAGACTAAAGAGCTTTCTCTTCATTGCTAAGAATTTACTTGGTTGGCAATACGGAAAGTACCAACATTTTGTAATAAAGCAATGTTTATCATCCAGTATGAAAACCACAGTGACCACAGCTGGCAGCTGCTCTGTTTGTCAGACATGAAGTACGTCTACTCTACTTGTACAGAGAATAATCTTTCAGTGAATCTTGAAGCATGTTATTATAGTTTCTAATCATCATTTCATCACTGACAACACTGTTAACCAGTCACAACAGAGAGCCTACCCAAAAGTCAGTTTATAACAAAACATTATTGACACCTTTGAGGATTTTTTTTTTTTTTTTAAGTTATTAAACTGGTGTTGGTAGATTTGGCCAGAAATCAATGTTTGTACTGCCTTCTCTCCTGCCAGGTTCAGTAACAAAGTATCCAGCTACAAAGTATGTGTCTTTGTTACTCACAGAATTAATACATTCAAATATTTTTTCATATGTACACCCAATATAACAAGGAACAAGCTGCAGAAGCTACAATGACAGGTGCATATGGATGACGCAAGAAAAACATTGAATAAAGTAAACATTTTTCTACAACTCTTAATACCACTTTCCAACATCACAAAGCAGGAA